TAGTGAACAAAATCCCTGCTCAGCGTTTTTATTAAATTTTCGTTGAATTAATTTTTTTTTCATTTTCTATTTATATAAGACTATGCGTTATAGCAAAGTGTATGTATACTTGACTTTAAAATGAGATAATAATTAGCACAGAAACGTGATTTTAATTCACGTTACGCGTGCTAATATGGAACTTTAATTCACGTTGCGTTGAATTAAGCGGAATTTTCACGGTACGAAGGAGTTAATTGCCGGTTTTCCGTTATGAATTTCCCGTCGAGTCGAAAGCGATCGTTCTTTTTCGCATTTCTCTCGAGATAGAGAACGAGGGAGGGAGGGGGAAGGAGGGGGGGGGAGAGAGAGAAAGAGTCGTTTTAACTGCGAGTTACAGCGAGCTTTGACGCTAATGACCGTCTAAGTAGATTTAAACGTATCCCGCCGTTATGCGTTCTACCGCGCTGCACATCGCGAACGTGTTTTTTGCAACCGTCGCGCTGCGGTAAATGCCGCTTCCATATATATAGCACATATCAAAAGACAAATGGTCGCGGCGACCAGGGATCGCAACAAATTCCGTGGCTGAACGATCATTTCTCGCGGATACATGCCGCGTTACTTTCGCAACTCGCTCTACCAGAGGTTCGCTCGCCGAATCAATACGGAGTAAAACGACATTGTCGTGAGCATCGGTGCACCAAAAGGTGCGGCGTTCGAGACACTAATCTCTCGAACAAAACGTTACAAAGGGCAGGCGGGACACGGATTCAAAAAGTTACTCGATACCCCGGACAACCTGTTTGTGAATAAACCTATTCATTTCTTGCCATTCTCGTGGCACCTTTCATACGTTAAAAAAAAGATTCTGCTTTCATGTAAAGTTGTATCTCTCCTGCTCTACGGTTTTCCACTTGTTCATGATGTTTTAGTCGCACCGTATCTTTAATTCGATGATCAAATATTGTTGCTATCGACACGGTTGCCCGACATGCGCGCGCGTCGCCTGTGTCAAACAAACACGGTGATAAAGGTTCGGCGCTTACGCGCGTTTTCTGTGATAATAAATTTGTACGCGCGTGTTTTATAGCACGTACGAAAACGCGAGAGGATTCGTTTGATCTTTGCAGCGCTAGCATCTCGAAAAGAACGCCTTCGCGTAAAAAAGGGAGATAGCGCGCGATAAGAGCTTCTTACATTTATGATCCCCGAGCGCGGTTCGATGGAATTCAAGACGTGACGCGGGGCGAGGAGGGTCTTGGCGAAAGCTGTCGAGATCAACTTTAACGGTAGCTTAGCTGAAGAGCAAGTATACACGTATCTGGACAAAGTTTGTAAATTATGAAATCGTGGCGCGTCAACCTCTCTTCAGAGTGTATACGTAAAAGGATATGAAACGACACGTCGGCGTCGCGATGCGTGTCATCAATTCGAGACGCGATAACCGCTTCCATCGATGTTCGGTATCATCATTATCGTCGCATGTTTTCAGATTTCCGAATCGATTGTTACCCACGGGCGTTTCTTCCTGGCGTATATGCAAACGCGTTTTTTGCAATCATGCAATACAGGCGCACGCTATCGCATGCGTCCGCGCTAGTATCGCGCGCATGCACATTTTACACACACACATACGCACACGCACATCACACATTAACAACGTATAGGGGGTATATAGGCTTCTTATACGTTTCTCGTATCTTGTCTCGTCTCGTCTTGCCATGTTGTTTTCGTCGAGGGGGCAGACCTCGTGGATCTCTACTCCTCAACTACGTCATAAGTGTCTATTTATACTCCGACGCAGCGTTTAAACGTATACAGGGTGTCCCGCGCGATTCGCATTTATAGCTTGCACGGCGGAGGTGCATTACATTAAAAAATATGACGTACTTGTTAATGTGGGAAGCGGAAAAAATTGCTGTATAGGGGACGAACAAAGTTTGCTATGGTTAAATTTATGAGTAACGATAATAAGCAGATAAATTTTAAAGTAAATGGATCCATAAAGAAAGCGCAATAATGATAGCGACGTTTAATTTGGAGATTAATTTATGGGAAACTTTCGCGTGCGACAGGCGCCACTTTGTATACACGTTCTTCGTGAATGAACTCGGCACGGAGTATCCGGATCTTCGCCGTACCGCCTCGTGAAACGTGTATCCACACTCCACACACTGTCGTCGACGCCAACCCAGACGGAATTTCCGTTGCCACGTTCGTGATTTACTACGGGACTCTGACGTGTTTACAACAAAATTGTATCAAATACTCAGCAAGAAAATTCGCGACGTTCGAAGGGAAACGCGACGACGCGACGCGACGCGACGCGCCGATATTGACTCGGACGGTCTGCATTTAAGGCGGTCGGGACAAAGGATTTTGCCGTAAGTAATAACGAGTACGCGTGCACGAAGTATCCGGTAGATTGCCGTTTCCTGGTTAGGTTAGGTTTCAATCCGGAACAATTTCTGACGAGGAACGGAATAAGTACGATCCGGTAAGTGCATTAACGCGAACCATATTCGGTTCTCGACATCGTACAGCGTCAAGCTCTGTCATCACTCGAGGCCTGCAATCTGCGTGAATTACGCGCCACGCAGATTACAGGCGTGCGTGGAGAGACGACGGACATTTATGCCGGCATATATGGCAAGCCAGAACCGAGCGAAAGCTCATTTTTGCTCGATGAACGAAGCGACTGTGATAATACACAATAATTTAGAGAGCTACGCTTTATTCCATTCTATTCTTATGTCGCGATTCGAATGTTTTCTGCATTTCTTTTTTTTTTGTTTTGTTCATTGTGGAGCGATCCGTTCTACCTTGCCTAGCGCTTCCTTAGCCGGGAAATGATCTGACATTCTCCAATCGTTAACAACCGCGAAAAAAGTCTCTGCTACGATATATCTATCCGTTAATGGATAAAGCCGTTGCCGTTTATCGCCTTTCCTTCGCGGAAAGGTCTTTTGTTCTACTTACGCCATTACCCGTAAAGAACGGTCACAAGTCATAATTAAACAAAACTAACGGTACATTATATAAAAGTGCATAGTAAGTATCGCCAAGATGTGCGCGATGCAGCTTGAATTTACTGTTAATTATGGGAGCTCTTAATTATGAGAAAAATAATATGGTCGCGAAAAGAGGGTCATTGGCGCGAGAATACGTTTCTCATTGCTTAAAGTTGTCTAAGCCGGTGTCATTAGTACGTACAATCGTTTCCTACGCACATTCACGTATCAGACGAGCTAGTAAAAAAAAAATCACGATATTTTTAAGTGTCACCCAGTTACGATAATTAGGGTTAAAGAAATTTATCTGTAGCATTAATTGCACAACTTCGTAGAGCGCCTATTGCATGGCGGCCCGTCGGGACGAGAATTCGCGATACATTATGCCGACAATAAAATCGCTAATCCGCCGATAAACGCATTTGAATCGGGGCCAACTATTTATAATTCCGTCGGGATGCTTCTGAGTTATAGCCGCGTACGACATTGTATGTCCGCGCGATCGATCAACATCCACGTATACGTAACGCCACGAAATTTGAAATACATTTTCTTTCGCTTAAATTCCCAATTCGGTACATTTGTACATAATATTTTATTAAAGTACTCGAGTAATTGAATCTATTTTGCACAGTAATTGGTAATTACGGCACGTGTTGTGACGTAATATTTACGCAACGCAAATATCGAGGGTCTCGCAAATGAGCTTGCAATGACAATAACAATAATAATAAGGATAATAACGAGATATTTAATTGCTGCTCGTTAATTATGCAATTTCCATGAAATGAAAATTGTTAATTATCTCTTTTGGTTTTTCTGTCCATTTGCTTCTTTTGCGACCAAATTGCGCAAGTGCGTTACGCACTAATTCTAACAGAATTACCAAGACACAATTAAAATGTGTTATTACGCAGCAAGCGCGCGACTACACAACATGGAAAAGTAGTAAATAACCAATATTTGAAACGAACCAAAAAACATGTAGATGAGAGGAGCGGAGCAGTTGGTACAGAAGCCATCTATTTTTAGAAATTTGATTTTAGGCTTCTCCTTCGCGCTCATAATGGCGATCGGCCATCGGCCGCGAAAACGGCACGGCCGACACAGTTTCCGCCGTCGTGCGTTTCCACATGTGCCGTATGTGCGTCTCGGGGGAAAAGCGCGGCGAACATATACGCGCGAACAATGAAATTATACGGTGAAACTGATCGATTTTTCAGACAATCGAACGGATGTGAATTACAATTTCAAAATCGTCGTTAAAATGCATGAACTTTCGCGACGACGAGGACGATGACGATGACGGCGACGAGAGAGCGACGACAATAGTACGAGAGCACTGCTGGTCTGAGAAAAAGGACAAAGGACATAATATTTCTTACTCAAAATCCACAAATTAATAAATGTTTACTGATAAAAATCATAAAAAGAAATAATTATGGAGTATTTATGTTTTTAGAGTTAATGTCAGAAACGCAATATTGTATATTTTCGTCTCGCTCCGTTTGTTGTTGTTACGAAGTATTGATAATCCACAAACGATCACTCGTACGATTTTAATCAAATTGTGACGGAGTTGTTTTCAATTAGCATTATTCGAAACGGACACAGATAATCAAAGTCGAAAGATCGCGCCGAAGATTTACACGCGGGTCGAAATTTAAATAGTAGCCGTCCTTCGTTCGCTTCTTAGCACCTTGTAGCCATAAGCGGCGCGAATTCTTGCCGATCGATTTCTTTTCTATGTCAGCTACAGAGTTGCGATTACGGGTTTTTTCCATCGCTGAAAACATAATGCGCGTCAATATGTAATCTTTCGCGAGATCGGACGAGCGGCTGCCAGTTGTAAGACTGTATTAATGTGTTCGTTCGTCCCCTGATAAAACGCAAATACCCGTAGATTTGCGTCGTAATTTCAATGCTACGTGCAAATTATCGCGGTAGTTCAATACGACTTTATTAAGTTACTTGAGTCGAAAGTAACGAAATATATATTATTTGCAGAATAGTCCGGCGGAGCACCATTCATCCTTGGCTAAGACGTAGGATGGCCGCGGGTGAGTTTTTTTTTTGTATTGATTCTTCATTAGTAACACGTGTGTTTTGTGACGTAACAGATATTGTACGTGTGTACATACGTATAGTCACAGTCCATCTCCATGTTTTTACTTTCTTTGTGCTTTTAAAATGTGGTCGAAAGCAAGTTTGAGGAAATTTAGAGATTTGTTTGTTCAAAAATACTGCATAAAATCTCTGTAAATCATGAAACTTTGCATACAGCGTCTCGGTGCGAGAATTTATGAAAAATACGTAATGTTTATCAATGGTGATTAAGCAACGCAGGGATCCCCGTCTCATTATTTAAAGTTTTAAAGATTATTATTTTACATTTAAATGACATAACGCGAGACAAATCATTTATTTTCACATAAAACATTCGATATTATATATTATGTATACGAAGCGTAGATAACGATACTGCATGGAAAAGGTTTTATCGAAAGGTTACAGAATAGCTGCTGCGCTACGAATGTTACATAAATACATGGTCAAATTAAGGGGAAAACGGAAGTTGTAAATAACAACTGCAGAAACTCTCAATACCCGTTACGTTACAATTCGCCGAGAGCTATACAATAATATACGATATAAATAATATATAGCATAGCTCGGAATTATCGAGAGCTCGCCACGTGCGGGTGATACGCGCGTTCGCCACGTGCGGCCTTTACACGAGGTACGTGATCACGTTGCGTCGAGGTATCGATATTAGTGGGGAAAACGCGGAGAAGAAATTTTCCGACGGGATCGACGCGCGGCAAGCACGTGGTGGGTGGCGAGTGGCGAGCTGCCGCCAGCATCTCCGTAAATATAGACGGGGAATTTTTCGTCAGAGTTGCGTGAATAAACACGCGCTGTCGTTTAAGGTCGTTTCGACAAATAATCTCGTATAGGCTAACGCCTCGGTGAACGTGATAATACCACGCGAACGACGCGACGTCGTAAACGGCCGTCGACCGAGATAGCGTCGAGGTCGAGATTATGCGCGAGGCCTGTTCGAATACTGTGAGCGATTTGCTTTTTCGACCGCTCGAATAAATCTTGATGTGTAATCGCACGAAGAAATGTAATGAGCGCCCGTTTCCTGCCGCAGATGAGATTTCGGTTCGGATATCGATATCGCAATAATCTTCCGTACGTCGAACGTATCATAGACATCCCTATTTACGTTCCGAGCTTACGCATCGAAATTTCCCTCCGGGTAAAATTGTGTGAAAAAAAGAAAAACGGTGTGCGCCAGCTAAGCCCTAAGGCTTCCCGCGGCACCGCGCCGCGTGACGATGAAACCCACGAAATTGCGGGGAACCTGACGAATCCTGATCCCGACGCGAAGCGGCGCGGCGGAACGAGAATGCTCGTTTCGAGCGAGAGAAGCACTCCGGGTCCGATTCCCACCCTCTCTCCGTTGTCCTTTTATTTCCCCGTTCCTCCCGGCCGTTCGCCATCGTTCGTTCGTTCGCTCGCTCGAGGAATCGGGCAGAGAAAAACGTTTCTACGAACGAATCTTCGGCCCTCGAGGCGTAACGCATTTTTCGAGATAGATGCTTCTCCCGTTTCATCCTTCGAGCCTCATTTAGTCGACGATCGACAAAAGCAATCTAGATTTTGAGAGATCCGTTTAGACGAAAATTTTAAAAATGCTATTGAAAAATTTCGCAGAAAATTTCGAGTTATCGGTCATCGTACCCGATGGATCAAAAGCAGTTCGTGAAAATCTAAAATCTTCGTCTTCTTAATAAACCATTAATCCTGATTATATTCTTGTCGTCCATTGGCAAGCGATCGATGCCGCTCTGAATAATTCCGCGCTTCGACCCGCTTGTCGTTCCTGTCCGGCGTTACCAACGATCGACCGTTACCGTCGCCGTCGCCGTCGCCGTCGTCGTCCTTACGAGTTTTTCTTTCGCGAAATGACTTCGGCCTCCTTCCGTCATCACGATGCGATTGAAACGACAAACGGCGAAGGAATAGGGGCCGTGGGAAAAGCGGTAAAATACGTCGGTAGCGCCCGGCGCGGCGCGGCGAGGCGAGCTCGCGGAACCTTTTGCTCCATCAAGTTCGTCGACCGCCTCGATGCACTCAACACGATCGCGCTGTTTTTCTCACTTCTTCTTTCCCTCATTACTCGGGGTAAATCGCCGGGAAGGTTTCCGCGCGATCTGAAGCCCACGAAAGACAGAGAGATGCGTTAAAATGCAAACAATTCTCAACACTTTATTTGTAACATTCTTAAAGTTAGCTGCGTCATCCCGAGTCGTACGATGCAACGATTTAATTTACCTACGAAGAACACTTTACTAAGAGATAAATAGACTGTCACAGCATAGACTCTAAGCCGTATCGCGTCATGGCGTTCTTATTGACCGTGCACGTCGTCGACTTTGTTTACTAGTAAACTGTGAAAAACAAATTGACGGTAGTCGTTTTTCTCGCGCGTCAATAGGTAGCCTATCACGTCGTTTTTTTTTTAGCATTTTGTTTAAAAATAAATTCTCCCCGCGGGATTGAATCTGCGACGGCGCGGCACGACAGGCCTGTCCGCCATAAAATAAACACGTGACGCAAATGAGGCGCGGGAAGGGTTCGCAATAGGTCACGGGCTCACGTGGGGTGTGAATGGCGAATTATTAATAATAAAAATTGATTGCTTCGAACGAGAGCTTGTTCCAGCCAATCTCCGCGGATGACATAATCGAATCCTCGAAACGTTAATCGAACGATCTCGCGGTGCGGGATTTCGTTCGCCGATGCCGCACAGTTGGATGGAAATATCGTCTTCCGCCAATAATGCGACGCAAAATTTTATCTCCTCTATTATTCAGCGATATCCAATTAGATCTCTGAAGAGCATTTCAAATGTGGTATGCACGCGCGAAATTAGATTTTGAGTTTTTAAGTATTAACGTCTACGGTGTTCAATTTTTAGCTTATCTCTAAATTTAATATCGTTTAAACCAAACATGTATGTTTCGCATATGTTATAATGAAAATTTCTTCGTATTATAAATGTTTCATTCTCTCTCTCTCTCTTTCTCTCTTTCTTTCTTTCCAAACTCTTTCTTGCGTCATTGTACCACGCTTCTGTTTACATAAATCATAGTGCAACCGACAGCGACTCGTAACCGACCAATAAAAAGTTTTTTCTTGCCAAGTTCTTGACATGTTCTGACACGTAAGAAGTAGGTTAATTATTTTTTATCTTGAACATAGCCTCTTATCGATCGCGTGCGGGCCGTGGAAATTTTTATGCGATCGTTTAAAAGTGCCGCTGGCGGTGCAATTCTTCGTCCGTTCATCGTCATTCTATACTGGCGCTCGAAATAAATTCTTACATATGCCGATGCATCGCATCGATGTCGCATAAATGGAATTGCGTCGCTTTCCACGCGTAACGGAAACTCCCGCGATTGAGCGCTACCGTTCTATGGTATATTTATATCGCGAATTTATATCCCAGGATTGCATTGTGTCGATATGTCCTTTACCTGAAATATAATTCTATATTTATTACAAATGAGCCATTGTATCTCCGCATTCTTCACGTCCGCGTTCTTCTTTCCGCGTTCAGCGAATCAAATATTTCGATTTTTCATGCTTAAGATGCAGGTCCGCGTATATATAGGGATGCGAAGAAAAAAAGAGTTAGTGTCTGTTTCTGCGACTGACGGTTGACACACGCTTGCTGTCGAGTGTCGAGCTCGTTAAAGGCGAACGTTAAATCGCCTCGTATCGTCGCTTTCGCAAAGTTCGCTTCGGACGAATACGAGCCAAGGCTGAAGCAATATAACGGCAGCCGCGGTGCCATGCGCCCCGGGAACGATGATTTGTCTCCTCCTGGTAGCCTCAAGAGCTTTCGTACGAGTTGGAAATCATCGCGTTGCGCCCTACCCGCTTATTACTTTAAATACCACCGGCGCCGCGTATCGTTGTACTTTTGCGGATTACATTATTATGTACCGTTCGTGTCCCTCCGATAAAGGATAATTTGCCTCTACGTTCGGCTCGTGCGTATAAGCTCTGTATATATTTTACCTGTAATTTATTACATAGTCTTTATAATTGGATGAAATGACCATTGTCCAATTATAAGAAAAAGGAAAGCAAAAAGAGGGACAAGATTTATCATCTTCCCCGTGAAAGGATTCCTTGGAATAAAAATATACACAATTTCGCTTTACAAGGAAAGATAATTGGAAAATAGATTCTTGCGAGAGAGAGAGAGAGACATTGTTGAGTACCGATTCGACTCGCTCTCGTGCACATCACGTTATTGCAACACTTTTAATATTCGCGGAGAACGGATTATTATCACCGTTATCCATCCTGATAACGGGGCCTCGTCCTCTCGAACGGACAGCGCGGCGGTGATTTTTTACCCGCAGCTCCTTCGGAGAACGAGCGCGTTCTCTCGTGCTCTCTGGCCTCTTCTAATTGGTCACGTTCTTGAAAATTTTGCAGACGAAAATTAATTTTCCTTCCGTACGAGAGATATTCGACGGTAGACAAGGCGAGCATTTCTCGTCGCTGCATATTTCTCGCGTTTATATTTGTTTTTAGCAGTTTATTTAGAAAAATGTTCTACGTGCTAGGAGAGACGCGTGACATATTGAAGATTATGAAAAATATATACAAGAGATTTTCTGGTTTGCGTGTGCAAAATATGGTTAAAAAGGAAATGTTTGTACATTTCGATAATTTTGGAAATTCCACGAATCAACAAAATGTCCTTTTCAAAATTCTTGACAACATTTTCCAGATCGAACTGTCATGCACGAATAAAACGAAATAGAACGAGCGAGTTTCCAAGAGTTCACGTTTGCGGCAATTCGCTCGCCGCTATTTCTACTTATAAGTGTATGGATGAGGAGAGAAAGTCTCGTATCAAAGTATATATACGTCTGCGATTCCACGGGACACTTGATTGGTCTTCACGTTTTAGCCGATTGTATCGAGCAATGCCGTGATACTCTGAGCGCGCGTCGCATAGAAACGGGCG